TCCCACTGGCATGGGACTATTTGTTCGTCAGAGTGCTTGTTTCAGTGATTGAATTTAGTGAATTTGATGTCATGATTTGAAGGTGAACTCGTTTGAGTTATAAGAACATATCCAAACCCTGAAATAACACTTCGAACAATAACCCAGTGTCATCAGTGTCAGAAATGAACCTTCCCATAAGGGGCAATTGATTTTCAGTTTTTTATTTATTTATTATTATTATTTTTTTTTTACCTTTTGTATGTCATCTTTAATGTTAAATCCTTACATCAAATAAATTAGAATAATATGACAATAGGCTGTTATCAATTAAATCAGTATTCAGTGATATAGAATCTGCGTCTGAAGATGCTTTTAGATGTATTTACAGTTTAATGCTGATCAGACGGCTGTACGTGCATTTACACAGCAATTACAAATGTATAATGAAATGAGATTAATGTTGTATACAACATTTTTATTACAGAAATATTAATCAAATGAAATGATACTTGAATTATGAAAGTAATATCACCACTAGGTGGCGGTAAGTCATTGTGTTAATAAAGGAGACTTTTATTCAATCAATTCGTTCAAAATGCTTCATTCATTCATTTAGGAATAAAATCAACCGACTGTCTATAATAATTGGTAATTGCATTGTTGTCTATAATAATGCGTTTTTCAAAGACTCTGATTCATTCAGGAATGATACACCACTCTATGCGCCTGCTGCGAGTCAGTCACACAACGGTTCTGTGACTTTGGTTTAGTTGGCAGAGAAAATAACAATTTTGTATGCCGTCAGTTAGCTGGCCAATACTCAATATTAATCAAATAATCTCTACCTATGTTCACATAAATTAATAGTGGTCTGCGCTTGTCTACAATACATTCTCCCCACGCTGCAGTGCATCGCGCAGCTTTGCCACACAGATTTTAATAGGTGGTTAGCTATAATAATTCAGGCGGAGTGCCAAAGATGTAGGCTAGTAGGTAGTTGTGAGTGCAGGTGCGAAGTAAATAAATATTTATGAGATAAACTAATATTTCATGGGTAGGTTGCAGAATTTATGCCTACACAAAAGAAAGCTCTGTCTAGGCTCTGCCTCGATACGGTTTGTGTCAAGCCATTCGTTGATCTGGCTGTTTGATGAAGAGAAAGAGATACAAGAAATAAACACATTTAGAATCTATAGAAGCAGAGGACTCTTATTGTGTTTTTTTAGGACTATTAAATGTTTGGTTGACCAATCAGCGGAGAGGGGGGTTTCATTCCCGCTCACATGTAGAGATCGAATATTCAAGTTGCTAATTCGTTTTCTATCCCTGAACGTAAAAAACGTAAAAAAGCCAAATTCTTGATTTTTCGTTTTGTTTGAACAAATGAAAAAAAAAATTTCAACATTTTTCAGATTTCAATATTAAATTTAAAAACGAAATACCCTGATACCACTACTGCCAAATTGATTAATTTAAATGGACAGTTTGAACTGATTAACAGAAATGAATCAAAATGACCAACTCTTGCCAGTGAATCAGAATTTATTCATTCAAATGGACATTTTCAAATGAATCAGTATTACCTCATCACACAGTATACTGTTTACTACATAACCACAAATATATGCTACTCACTTGGAGGTCCAAAAAGCACTGTGTCCAGAGCCTTCAGATGTAGTTTCTGTGCATGACTGCGGTCTGGTATCTTCAGCACGGACAGAAGCAGGGTGGCATTTTTCACTGCAAGTCTGTGAATGGACCCAGACACAAGTGAATCATTGACCTTGATCACTGAATTTATTTCAGTCCAAAAGCTGAAAAACTAACAATAAGGATGCTAACTGTAAGCTTCCTTGCCTGGGAAGAGCTTTTCCACTGATGTCATTCTTCCTGAAGGAATCAACATACTGAGGTAACTCCACACAACTGATGAGCCACTCTTCAGCTTTCTCTACTGTCCAGTTATACACTATAGACAAAAAAAACTTAAGTGACGCTGAATATTACCATGGAAGATATACTGAACAAATGATGGAAGCTTGATGCTTTCAGTTCCACAAACATAAAGCTTTCATTTCTACATGCATCTAAAGATGATGTGGGTTTATGATGTGGACTATTGGGAATGATTTAATGGCTCTTAAACTTGTTAATTGCTTTCACTGATATAATTAGCCTGATGAGATGTGTGCAAACCTTCAGAGGCCTTCCAGGACTTCCACATTTCCTCCACTGTGATCAACAGATCTGCTCTATGGAAGCTGTTGTGTTTTCCTTTTGGGTCATGGTACTTCAAGTCTTCCCTTAGAAACTGTTTGAGGAAACAAAAACTGGATGTTAGCATTCTCTGGTGTGGTGGTTCTCATCTGATGGGTTGCAACCTAAAAATGAGTCACAGGTTTGTTCTGATAGGGTCACATGCAGCTGGTAAAAAAATGGTGAATACATATAAACATGTTTATTAAGGATTGCAAAAATAAATAGGCATAACAATTTTCAAACCCAAGGAGAAAAATCCAGCACCATGAAAATCAAAAACTTAGATCTTTCCAAGAAAACAGTCACATGCTAGCCTAGACTGAATTATTTGTGCTTCTTGAAGGAGTTTATTTTTTATAGCACTGTGTATTTGCATACTTCAACATTTGGCAAGAGACATAAAGCCACAGCATGCAAAACACTTGATTAACTTGTAATATTTGTATTGGGTTGTTGTGATCCAGTAGATGTGTTGTGATCCATGGTGGAGCTTCTGTCATGAAAAAAAATTCCTCGTATGTGTAAACATACCTGGCAATAAAAACTCATTCTGATTCTGATTCTGATCTACTGTAGAGCCTCAGACAGCATACAGTGTGTAAATGCTGACAGTTTCACTGGGTCCAGTCGCGTCACAATCCCTCAGATCAGCTCTGATCGGCCTTGTGCAGGCTGCTGTTGGTCAGCAGTAATACTGTTTACTCAGAGTGCTCAGATGTGGCATTCTCATGAAAAAGTAATTGCTTTGGGTGATTCAAAGATAATACAGAGTGCTTTTTATAGCCTATGTTCATAAACCATAATCATGGTGAATCACGTTTGATTGCACTGCAAAAGTGTAATGCCCATTCAAACTGATGGGGACAAGCAGATTCAGAAATGAATTATCAAAGATACAAAGAGTTTGTATCTTTGATAATTAGGTTGCATGATTATTGTAAAAAAATATTAGAGGAAAACATATTGTACAAATATGAAATGTAGCAACAGGAATCCCTCATCTAAATTGAGTCCAAACGAGTCACATTTTCCAAAGATCATTTGCTTTGAACACAAATCCACCCACCTATCACAAACTACTTTGACTATAACTACTGTGAGTCAAGTAAAAAAAAAAAAAGACCAAAAATACATAATCACTGGCAGTTACAAATGCTTTATGATTTAAAGGGTAATTTTATAATACAAAGACATATTTCACATTTATATATATGCACCTCACTGAAGAATGTAGTTTATCATGAGAAAAATCACAGTTGAAAGATATGACCAATGAAAAAACCCAATAACAACACATAAATTGCATTCCTCATCTCTGCAAAAGCTTTGCAACACACTCACTTGTACCAGTACAGCTGTACACTGTAAGCCAGTACAGTATATGTTGTACTTCGCTGTGCTGCACTGTTGTACTGTCAAGTCAAGGTCATTTGTATTTGTAAAGCACTTATGACAATACATATTACAGAGACCTGTGTCTCTAGTAAGCAAGCCAAAAGCCACTGTGTCCTTTCAAGCAAGAACTTGTTTGTACATTGGGCACCATGCACTGTGCTGCAACGTCAACCTCTCAACACAGCAGACCACAAAACCACCCACAAAAGCTGCAGCCCTCACCCCATCCGTCTCTGTCACATCCACGCTGCCGTCTGCATCATCATCCATGTCTTTGTGAATGTTGCGGATGGCCTCGAAACTTAACAGAGCATTTTCATCATGACAAAGAAGCTCATCGATACCACAGAGTTCTGAAGAGAGAAAAAAAATATATATAAGAGATATGAGAAAGCAAGTCCACTTGAACTACACAACTGTTATGTTACAAAACCTAGTAAGCTAACAGAAGGACCATTTTAAGCAAGCATTCAACGTGACCAATGTACCACAAGGTAGCCATATTAACTGATATAGATATATTATATATACCTATATATATATATATATATATATAAAAGATATATAATTTTGGCCAAACTCTATGGCAGCATTGCATGTATTCAGATAACCCAATCTCAGAATTCATTAAGCCAAGCTTAGTGGAAGAAAAAACCCCCCATCCAAGATGGCAGACAAGGTAACAGAAATGCACTTATTAGAACAAATACACTTATATTTTATTTAAAATTCCATAAAGCAGTTTAGTGTAATTATTGTATATTTTAATCCACATATGTTCATGTTTACGTTCCACCATCTTTTTCTGTCTTGGTATTTTTCCCATAGGGATTTTGAAAAAGTCTAAATATATAGTTTTTAATTTTGGAACCTGGTCATTGCAATCTATTGAAGTATTACACTGTTAGCTTAACAAGATGTTAACAACAAATGCTACTGAAATTAATTGCAGACAGTTCACTGTGTTTTGCAACACAGCTAATATGCACCATCCCACTGCAATGCATTCAGGGAAAACATGCTTGTTAAGCACATTCAATTACTAAAAAAAATCTGGAGTGTCTTACTGTATCTATTATAACTGCACAAAAAAAGCCAAGTTAAAAGCCTTCTTCAAAAGCACAAAAGCCCTATTCAGACACAAATAACCTTGAAATGAAAATGACTTCTCATTTAGTCCTCTCAGTGAAATTCATGCATCATCCATGGGAGATGTTTAAATCAAATTCAGATTCATTAAAAACGGTCTCTTCATTTTCATTTCACTTGCAAAAAATGCCAACCATACTCTTCTAAACCCTGATAGTGCATGTACATCAAGGAGACATCTATTTGACATCTGCATTTACAAGATGTATTTTTTAGAGCGTTTGCTCATCTGCAATATGTCTATAGGACATTTCCTATCAGATGTCAAATAGATGTTTAGAATATGTCTTTAAGATGTTTATGATTTAGAATGTATGTAAAACTGACATCTTATAGATGTCTATCAGAAGTTTGTACACAGCAGATGCTTTCCAGACGAAGAGATCTTTAATAGACAACTTGCAGACGTACGTGTGCTATCTGGTTAGAGTTTGGAAACTAAGCAAGGATGATGAACTTATCACTAGTATGTACAGCTAAAAACTGAACCAACAGCGGTGCCTTTCTAAGGGTCCAATGTTTGAGCCCATTGTAACAGGAGAGTTCAGTTTGAGGGTGATGCTCATACGGTTGGTAACAAATCCACGTAAGAGCCATAGAGTGACATTTAAACTATTTATAGATGGAGACACAGCACAGCTGCTGAGGTATTGTAGATATTGCTGTAATATGGCGGTAGGCAGGAGTGGATGTCCAGGAGTTAACCTTTGTCTCAAAGAATTAAAAGACTTAATTATGGAGCAGGTATTAACATAAGAAATCAACGGTTTCAAGCTTTTTTTAAAAACTGGGATCAGCTGACATTTTATACCTAAGTGTGTATGTAATTAAAAATGCTTATGTTACTTGTCAAGTCACCTTTACAATGTCAAACAGGAAAATAAATTGTCAATCATGCAAGAGGACAATAACAAAGAGTCATTTTTTCCAGCTAAAGTCAGTTCATTGATGATTCATGTCATCAAATCAGTGAATTGTCCATGAGCGGACTGTGTACTTTCAGGCTGATCCGTTTTGATAAAATAAACTTTTAAGGTCATAAGATCTGCACAGCTATTTTTGTCCCCATTTCACAGAAGGTAAAAGATAGTGTCTGTGCAAAACCACTAAACAAACATGCCACGACCACAACTCAAACTTAAAAAAAAAACACTTGTCATCACACAAACACATTATTAGCACTCACTGAGTTTCTGCATTATTAAGAAACATAATGACTCTGAGAGAACTGTTTGCAAATGTTGACACCACATCCAGTTTAGCTTGCTAACTAAGCTGAGCTAACCAGACACGGATCAAGAAGTCACATTAGCAACTCAACCGGGTACAAGTAAAGTTAATGGCATAGATTTACCAATTTAAGAAGCAAGACAGACAGATTTTGCCATTGATTTTAACTGAGAAAGAGGCATTTGACATGCATTAGAAAAAAACAACAAAGAGTCTCAGGAATTTCCTCACATATTTTTCTTGAATTCCCTGTATGCATTCCCTCCACCCGATTCACTTAAGATATCATTTGACATACAGCCGGATTCAGATAGTTTACTCCCCATAAAGTTCTGTTATCATTTCTGTCATCACCAAACTCTTATGTGGAACACAAAAGGTGTATTTGCAAAGTATTTCCTGTAGCTTCATCTGGGCCAACTTTAAGACACAAACCTGGCTACTTGCAGATTTAGCAAAACTTTATTTTTAAACCATGTTGTCATGAAATGTCCAAACTCGAGCAAATCCAGAAACAATTTTTTGCCTCAGAGGCAAACACTATAACAGCCTACTAACTTCTAAACAAACACAAGTACTCATTCAGTGACATTAAACATCAGTGTACAATGTGCGTTGGACTACAGAAAGCCAGTAAGGTCAAAATTCTGGAGTTTTTACTAGAGGTTAGTTGGATCTTTTCAGTTTTAGCTCCAGTAATACATAGAGCCACAAGAATAACAAAGACTGAATACATTAAGTTTTAAATAAATGCAATTTTTTGCCCTAATTTTTTGTTTTAATGAGATTTACTAATTTATATTGAAAGTCGTGTGGATTTGGAATGACATGAGGCAAGTAAATTATGACAGAAATTCATTTGTAAGTGAACTGTCCCTTAAACAGCCAGGACACACTGAAGCAAGCTGCTGTTAGCATGTGATAAAATCCCACAGAGGCAATGAATGTCTCGTTTAAAACAATCAATTTCCGCCATTTCTTTTCCTGTATCTCTGGCTGGAGCATTATTGGTAGGAGAATGAGGAAAACAGAGAGGCCTAGGATAAGGAGAGGGGAGGAAAAAATGGAGGGATGTTTCATCTGCTTCACTGGATGGCGGGGACCTTTAAAAAGATCTGAGAGGACCGTCAGAGTTCTGCATCTACATCTGCCTTGAGGATTTACAAAGCTGTTGTAAAAGACCCTTTAATATCGCTGCATGAAGTCACACACAGGCCAAGATCAGATGGGTAATTTACATAATGTACGCTAGAGGTTTGAATGCTTGGAGATAGCAGTAAAACAAATACTACTAACTGTACAATGGTAATGCTGAAAATATTGTGATTAACATTGTTTTTCTATTTAAAAGAATAATCTGGGTTCAATAAATGTTAAGATCAATCGACAATGTTGATTACCACAAAAATTAATTTTGACTCATACCTGCATTGCTTTAAAAACTCAAAAATTCAGTTTACAATGGTAGTGAATAATCCCATTTCATAAATGTTAAAATGCTCAGTTTCATTAGAATAGCCACAAGATGTAGACAATAGGTGTGAAAAATGGCTTATTAACCTTTTCTGTGTAAAATGACATTATATACCAAGTCAACCGTCATGATAACACAACACTAAACCCTAAAATGACAGAAAAAAAATTATACAAACAGCTTTACAGCTCCAATAATACTGATATTTTAACAGAAACCTTTAATGTAAGTGCTTTTATAAAATTATTCTAATTTCTTCACATTTCTGCTTTTAAATCCTTCAAAACTCCCCAATTTCAGAAAAGAAGAGTCGAGACTAAATTATTTTTGTGGTAATCTACATTATTGTCACAATCCCCACCCACCAGCCCATTCACTATCTTCAGTCACCAGCCCAGTCCACTGGGAACTACATTTCCCAGCATCCCTTCTGGTCAACACCTGCACTCAGTCCGCCATCACTACACCTTCCATAGATGAACCCATCAAGCCCTGTATAAGAGCAGTTACTCATCACTTCTTCCTGGTCTGGTCTGGTCTCTCCACGTATGAGGACTTACCTGGCTACTTCCTCTGATACTTACCTGTCTTCAGTTCCAGTCTTCACTAAGCTTTCATCCGCCAGCACCTGCAACAAACAAAGAACTGTTTATGCTCAAGCTAAGTGCTATCTATCTTCATTGAATTATAAACTCACCTGTTTACCATGCTGCTTCTCTGAAATACCTGTGAATAAAGACTTTGTTTTTGATTTTACCATTGAATCTCCTCCTTCTGTACTTGTGACAGAACATGATTTCAGTGGCAGTCACCACAGAGGATATTCTGCATTACATTTACCAAAATGGCCACAGTATAGAAGGATATGTGGAGGAATTCCTGCAGTTTTGTCATTTAACATCGTGGGATGACAGAGTCCTAATGGATTTCTTTTGGAGTGAACTAGATAAGACTCTCTCTACAGGGATACCGGTCGTAGATTCTGGCATCACACTTGAACGGTAATTAGATATTGTACTGTGGCTATGTGGCTCCCCATATGCGGTCCTTGTGGAAGCAGGAACCAAGAACCAAGAAACAAAAACCAAGGAAGTAGCCCCAATGAATCTGATTTCTAAATTGAGAGATCTTCCTATCATGTCTGTTTGAAGGGCCAGGAAACCCAGTTCAGTCATTCCAGTTTTGTCCACTTCTAGTAAGAATAACCTTACCTATTCCATGGCTTTTCATATGTCTACTCCAGGTCACCAGAGCCTGAAAATCCCCCGAGCTCAGGCAAAGATGCCAGTTAACCTCAGCCCATAGGCTGAGGCTGAGGAAGAAGAGATGGTCCTCAGTGGTTCTAACCCCTGACCCTGAGTCCACTCCAGTGTTGGCTCCAGTCCCTGAGTCCGCTCCAGTTAAGGAGCACAGTACAGAGATGGCTCCATTCCCGGAGTTCAGTAACGTGTCCACTCCAGTCTAAGTGATCTGTATCGAGCCCGTTCCGGCCCCAGAAGT